ACAAAACAAAACAAAACGAAACAAAACAAAACAAAACAAAACAGAAGTCTATTAAAATACTGTCATTATTTGATCCACATGATAGTTGCTGCAGTTCCACCAACAAACAAGTCAAAGTATGTACAGAATGCATAATTTTGTGCACATAGTATGTGGGGGGGGAGGAAGTATAATGGATTGAATATATGAATTTTAGCCCTTTCCCAGCTATATTATTGTATAGTTTTATATATCAAATTACCCTGACCATTAGCCAATTGGGGAAAATTGAAATGGAAACATTTTCTAACTGGGACTGAAAATATAGCACAAATAAGCAAGCAATGATTCTATAGGATTACAAAACTTTCCTTCAAATATCTGAAGGACTCTCATATAAAAGAGTGCAAAGATTTTTGCTCTGCTGTCCAAAGACAGACTAGGAAACACACTTCACATTACACTCATCATGTAGTTTGTAAACAGGTTTTTTTTTAACTCTAATGTAAGCACACATGGCTTTGGATTTGAACCATTGTGCAGAAGGGAAGATTATATTTCTCCCCTGCCCCCCCCCCCCCACACATTTACTTTCTGAAATCTCCACTGCATGGGGGAAAGGTTAACAAGGAGAAAAATGTTTCTGTTTATGTCAATGGGGACTTGTTATTTTTAACACCATCATGGGTGAAGGGTGGGAAGTTTGGGGAAGCAAGCAATGGGAGAGAGAAGGTCTAATTCTTTCCTCCTAGAATGCGGTGGTGCCAATTAAAACTGGCACACTTACGTTAAAATAAATGATAGAATAAAACAGAAGTGAAACATCACTGCATATATGTAATCAGGGTAATGTGTAGTTTGGCCCTAGAGTGAGTGGGGAGGTTACAGGAGGGCAGCCTCTGACTGAACTTAGAAGAAAGTTCTTGACATAAAATAGAGGGGAGAACTATGTGACCTCCTGATCTTGATCTTGTGGCCTTTCTAGTCCTGACCTAGAACATGTTTCCATATTCCAGTAGCTGGGGAATATAAGAGGGAAGCTGCCGTTGCACTCTTTGTGTACTTGGGCATCTACTTGGGCCACTGTGCAACAGAATTCTGGATGAGACAGTCTTTTAGTCAGATCCAGCAAACCCATCTGAAGTTCTTATGGTGGGATCTCCATAGCTGAAGCTCTTCCGACAAAGCCTGGACAGCCATCTCTAGCTCTGGTTTTCCTGTACTGAGAACAAAATTGAAGTAGATAACCTCACAACATCCTGCCATTTCTCCTCATTCCAGAATCTAGCATCTGATGTACACAGTCTTGAACTATATACCTGCTTTGTGGAAATTAACAAATGGTCAGTACAAAAAATTCTCTGTGGGCTTTTGACAGCTAAAAGACTGATATCATAGCTTTCGAAAGATAAACACTCACTGCCTATAATGCAATGGACTTTCAATATTTGAACAAGTGGTATATAGATGCTACCTTCAAATGGATACTTATTTGGATTTGGCCCAGTTTTACTGATGATGATGTATGATTCTAGAGAGTTGTATACATTTCATATAAACCCATGTACACATATTAAAACAAACAAACAAAACAAGTGCCATGCACAACATTAGGGACCCCTTCATGGGCACCATCCAAGGTGTTGTAGGTTCCATGGCACCACAAGTACCATATTGGGACCCTCTGATTTCAGTTATGTTCAAATATGAGCACCCATAGGCTCCCCATTCCTGCATTAGCCAGAGATTAGAATATGTGGCCCTCCAGATGTTGTTGGACTTAACTCCCATCATCTTTTGTTATTGGCTGTGCTGCCTAGCACTGATGGAGTTGCAACCCATCCATCTGCAAGGATACAAACTATTCATTCCTGAATTAGAATTTCCCTGTGCCATTATTTTTAAAATAATTGCTTTAAGAATAATTCAAATAATCTGATAGATAGGAAAGTTCACAATTCAATCAGTGTATTAACCTAATATTCCTAATTAATTGTTTTCTTTTCAGAATTCATCTTTGCTCTGTTCAATGTTACTCTCAAATAAATGGGACATGCACAAAATAACAGAAGATGTAGTTCAGATTTTTAAAAAATGCTCTCCTATTTTGTCAGCTTGTTTTCAAGCCTATTTAGATATGATAAAACTATAATTAATTTGAGGTTGAAGAGCACACAGGAACAAAAAGAAATTGGTAGAAATCTCTCACAGAGCAGACAAAGCAAAAGTGGCAAAAATTATACATAAGGCATGGAAGGACCACCAAAAGACAAATGTTTTAAGTCTAATGGTGACATAGCCACACATAACTCAGCCAATATTCCTGCTCCCTTCTATCAACGTGTATGCTATGTTTGACATGCTGCTTCAAAATGCAGTAATACTTTTTACATCCAAACCATTTTGGTGATATCACACCAGACAGTTCTTACTCTTGAAGAACTGTGTGGTGAAATACTCTGGTTTAGTTACAAAACCCACTCAGAATAACCACATCATTCTTGGCTACAGATATCCATTTTGTTTATATTAAGATGTTGCAAATATTATGCAGAATTTTCTTCAGTTGTTAAACCAGATATTACCAATGAGAAAATATTGTGAAAATTGTTTCCTTTAGTAATAAATGATAAAAAGCAAATGTGTTTATAGATACACACACACACACACACACACACACGTTGTTGTTGTTGTTGTTGTTGTTGTTAGTCGTGAAGTCATGTCCAACCCATTGCGACCCCATGGACAACATTCCTCCAGGCCTTCCTGTCCTCCACCATCCCCTGGAGTCCACTTAAGCTCACACCAACTGCTTCAGTGACTCCATCTAGCCACCTCATCCTCTGCCGTCCCCTTCCTCTTTTGCCATCTATTGTTGCCAGCATTAGGCTCTTATATTTACACAAAGCCAAATCTTAACAGGGGCAATATAAACTATAAAACAATCCTATGGATGAGCAAACATTTGATGAGTCTGTGAAAATACTAAAGGTTAGCTGAAGTGGATCTATAGGTGAAAACACTCTGAATATTCTGAAACAGTCCATCTGGTCAAGCTGAGTGAGACATAGAGGAAATTAAATTATTTTAACTTCATTATTTTTTTTCCTGCAAGGCAGATTTATAGCCTATTGAAGCTCTGAGTTTGCCAACATTTCTGGCTTAAATTCTTCTCCTTTTTGTTAATGTTTTTGTTTACATTATCTTTAGTACATCACATTTTTATCCCACCCCTTTTTCTTCTTGCAAGGGACCTAAGATGATCCTCGCAACCTTGCGAGGTAAGTTAGGCTAAGAATCAGTGACTGGCCCAAAGTCACCCAGTGAACTCCATGGCTAGAACCTGGGGGACTAGAACCTGGGTCTCCTAAATTAACTCTAACCACTACACCACATGTTTCATCCCAATTGTGATTATAAATATCAGTATTCTTTCCCTGAAAGAAAGAAGATCACAAAAAGTTTGTAACTTGGAAAAACTGGATTTAATTTCTACACAATTAAGTGGTGATTTGTACACTCAGGTAGTTAGGCCTCTTATAATAGTAATTGTAAAATACAAACAAATAATGAAAGATCATTCATTCTTATTAGATGGTTAATGCAAGTACAGAATCTGGGCCTTCAAGGTTCACTAGTTTCAAATATATTTCCAGGTACTTTTCATATATTGTAATCATGTAGCTAGATGTGAATAATTGACAGATACTGGGAAATGCAAAAATTAAAATTGTCAGTCAGAATTTTTAGTGAGGTTTCTTATTGTTCCTATTTGTAATTATAACATAGATAAAAAGTAATTACTTTGATTAACTGAATTTTCTTGTAATCCATATGCAACCACTGGATTACAAGGAAATACTTGTTTGTATCAAACATTCTTGGGAAGGCTACCAGATGAAGAATGCTAGCTTAGAGAAAAGAGAAAGACTGCATGGTGCTTCTAAAGGACACTTCAACATGGGCACCACTGAAAACAGCTTCAGCTTATCCTGAATATCCTGAATACATGGCTAGTTTTCAAGAGCATCTTCTGCATCAAAGAACTTTTGTCTTTGAAGCCTCTTTTCAGTCTGCTTTTAGGATGTGATTTTCTTCTGCCTGTAAAGGACATATTATAATGCTACTGTTGTTTGATATAAACATTTTATCTATCGTGGACTGTGACTATTCTGCTTGTTTCTTTCTCATGTAATTAATACTACAAAAATTGAACCTTTGACCGAAATGAAAATACAAATAAATACAGCAATCCACTAAATCACATGGGAGCAAATAAATATTGAATACTGCATTCTCTGAGATGGACTCAGTGTGTGAAATATACACATGTATCCAACTCTGTGTATAAAATGAGCAAAGAAATGGAAAGCCGTAGAATGAGCAAATAGTTGAAGGCTACTTTTTAAATCTTCAAACCATTCTATAATCAATGTATACTATTCATAATGAAATTAAGTTATTCAAAATTATGCATATATTCCCTCACACAAGGAGATTTTACACACAAGGAGATTTTACAATATACAATGTTTCAGAGGTTTTCATTCTTAATCATTCATTCATCACTTATAATGCTAATGTTTACTATGAATGAACAAAAACTCAAGTCTCAAAGACCATGTAAACCAAATTTCTAGTATATTTTGCTTTTAATATTAACAGGGTTTGCAATTATATAAAACAACTTTCACTTCCTTCAGCATGTAACATATATTCACTATTAACTGGAAACACAGTTAGCCCCTAACATGGAGAAAGCATGGTACATGCTGGGAATTGTAGATGTCTAAACATGCATAGAATGATTACCTGTTGGCCAATTATTAGCATAGTGCTAAGGACTACTAATTCTAACAGAACCCAGTTGAAATTAGAAGTGCTGAACTTTATAGTATACATTCCAGCCAATGCTTTCATACATTTAATTTGTACCTGGATCAACATCCCACATCTTAGGAGCAGATATGACTTTTATTTACTAATGTTAGCATATGGAAAAATAAAGACTAAAGTCTTACCCTTTTTCCCCAAGTCGTTCAATAACTTGGAATCCTTGTGAAGAATATCACTTACTAATTTGATCTCAACATTTTGAGACAACAGATCTTGCAATTTTTCAAAAAGATGTTGTCCCTGTTTTAAAAAAGGTTTGGGGTTTATTATTAGATACACAGGCATACAATATATAGTATTATTTGTATTTCAATATGTTTATAATAATGCTATATTTCAATGGACCAGGAAATGATTTCTGAAAGTTGTCATTTCAGAAATGATTTCTGAAAGCATTTAAAGTTGTCAAAATCACAAATAGACATGAATTCCTGTTATGTCCACCTTAAATATCAACATTTTGCAAGAGATGTAGTAGATCCCTCTTTAATTATGGAAGTCTTAGAGTGACTATATCTCAGCATAGCTTATTTCACATTGCCTGTTCTAAGAATAAACTGAGTTAAGTGGATATTGGGGAAGTCACAATCTTTTCTGAACCTTGGATAAGGTACTAGTGAAAACTAGCTAAATATTTTTTCTCTTGCATTTGTTGCTGCACAGTCTCAACAATAGAAAGTTATTCAGATTTTCATGGAGCTGCAGTTTAACCCTGAGTATTTAATTTGCTTCCAAAGTTCTGTTGTCCCAGTGCAGTCACAGCAATAATATAATATTCAGTCTTTGTTTCAAAATAAATATCTTACAAACTAGAAGCTATGAGGGCAATCACATTAATTCCTCATGTTATTGTTCATGGCGCCTCCAGAATCTGTTTAGATGTGGTATGGTAGACAAACTTTGTAAGCAAATATATAAATTGTCACTAAATAGCATTTATTGTCACTCACAGTAAATGTAAACTGAGAGCAAATGAACATGAATTATGATTGCAAGCTCTGTCCTAAATACACTCACTCTGATACAGAGACTTTTTTGTATGTGCCACAGATTCACTGTAAGGATGTAGCTTCACCCCAAGCAAAGGTTTTATATATACTTGACAATGGAGAAGCTGTATGTTTGCACCCCCATCTCTTAATAAGAAGCAGTTGTTGCTTAATTCTGTTTATTTGAACTGGCTATCTAAACTATTCCATTTCACCAATAATATAAATATCATCTTGCTTGCTTGCTTGCTTCACATTATACTGTAGTTGAGTCTACCTGCCGAATAGCCGCTTCTCCCCTTCCATATAATCCCTTTCTTATTTTAAATCTCATACAGTTTAGAATTAGAAACATCTTTATGTGAACATTTTATATATTAAAAATTCAAGCATTTTCACAAAACCATAAATGTACAAAGCTTTTGTGTGTGTGTTGTTCAAGCCCTTTTGTTTGAATGACAGTATATAGGCATGAGATGTTCTATGAAAGAGATTTTAAAAAGCAGGTTTTGTTGTGTGACATGGTCCTTCTCCTAAATAAAATGAACCCCCACCTTTGTTTCCTCCTACCACCAGCAATACCTCCACAGGGGGAGGGGCCTCTACATCTGACACTGTACAGCCCAGCTCCTGTTCTCTCATTGGCAGATCAGATCTTCCACTGTGTTCCACCCCCAGCTCACCTTGCTGGGCTACCTCTCCATTTTCACTGGATGGTTGGTTGCCACCCCCACCCAGCTGGGGCAACAGTGCTTGAACTGCAGATGTTCCCTGGCCTTGATCTGATATTGTCATTTGCTGACATTTCAAAGCTGCTTCATTTTCACTGTCTGAACTCTGATTCCCATCAAATCTATCAACAGACCATGGCCCCTCTGGCCACTTTTCCCTGTGTGTGCACACAACAGGCTTGGATTATTTATTGTGGAATCCAGAACTATTCAGATGGAAAGGAAACTTGCTAATGTTTAAAGGACTTAGGGTGCAACCCAGCAGGATATCTATAACTTTCCAGTTTTGGCTAACTGGGATGCCTCAGACTGGGAGGGAAGGTGGGGTGCCACCAGGTTACCTCTTATCTTGGTGATGTCAGTATTCTACCCTCCAGAATTCTTGGAATATCTCCCTTCTCCAAATCCTTTCTCCAAGTTCATCACTGCTGTTTTGCACACATAGTCAGTATAGTTCTTTCCATGCCAGCAACAGGGTGGGAAGAAGGGGCATTGCAGCTCCCCACCCGCCACCCCCCGCAACTATGAGGTTGGAGTGATTTTCCAACCAACCTTGGAGAGGAAGTTGCAAGCCATCCTATGGTTGCCTAGACACTATCTAGGCTATAGGGTTGCCTTCTTAGGTGTTACTATTTTATTTATTAATTACAGTATTTATTTTGCTTGAATATCATCATCATCATCCTCTCTAATTGTTTACAGGTATACTCTCATAGTCATAGCCAGCAAATGATTTGATTGATATAAAAGATTGATAGCAGTATAATCCCTGATTGATTCTATGTCACTTGACTGTACTGATAGGTATCTGATGTATCACAGTTGAACAGAATAGAGTTGAAATGTAGCCTTTATTTATCCCAAAATCACTGTTTCGGTTTTATATGTTAATTTAATGTAATATTCATTTTGCCAAATGTTTGTGTCACTTAGAAATTTGCCTTGGGAAAGCTGGAAACTTTAACAAAGAAGAAAAGAAGAAAAAAGGCAGGATATTTATTTATGTATTTAAAACATTTTTAAATAAATAAATGTTATATGATGATGACTTGTGTTTACTTACAATCTTTGCATGCTTGGATCTCTGCTATTTGAATCTTGGCCTGTGTGGTATTACAATAGATAACATACAAAGCCCATACTGATAAGCAGAATTTTTACAGGGTTACTATTTGGAACTGAATGCAGATCTATTTCCTACATGATAGCATAAACCAAGTGAGTTCAAACTGCTGGCATGTTGGAGCTGAGTATTGTCGGATAATTTAAAGAAGCATGCTCCTTTCTTAATCAGCTGGCTTATTTTGCATTTGCAGTAGCAACTGAGAACTGTATACCGGCTATTGTCTATTGGAATAAGCCTATTTTCAAATGTATAGATAAATATTTTTGTAAACTGTTTTTATTTTAAATATGAAAAATATGAAAATACAAAAAATATACAAGAATATGAAAATATTTTCATGGCCCAGTTAGGGTACCTCTTCCTCTTCCTAAATTCTGTTTCCCCATGCCAGCCTTTAACCATTTGTATGCTCTGAAACGTTACTATTATTTTCTATGGGGAAATATTCTATAGGCAGCTAGTTCTTACAATAAGGAAGTATGATGAAAGCAAGCATAAGAGATGTCCCTATCTAAGTTATATCACAAGGGTCCAATGAAAAGACAATGAAGAATAAAATGCAAAAAAAAGTACATTATCAAAGACATCAGTGTTAAACATAAAGCATACCTGGCAGGCTGATGGATGACTGTGACTGAGGTCCCACTGGGAAGAAACTATGTCAACAGATTTTTTAGCCATATTAAGCAAATTCATCCAGCCTTGGAAAAGGGACAAATAAGAAGGTGCACTATCTGAATAGTTTATACCTTCAGGAATATTTTCCACAAGAGCAACTCTGTGAAGACACAAAGAAAATAAGCCAGTTTACCAACTACTAGATATACATTGTTCTTATTTCACCAGGGTATTGTTATAAGGTTTAAAAAACTTGTTTTCAGCTCTCATGAGCACTGAATATTGATTCTCTGTTTCAGGCATTGAATATTGATTCTCTGTTTCAAAAGGCATGAAGAGCTACATGAGCAAACATTTTGTTTCTCCTGTAATCAACAATATTATAATTTGTTGCACAACTTTGGAGAACTTTATCTATAATAATGAAACAAATGATCTTGTTCCTGAAGCAGATATATAGGTTAAAAATAATTTTCTTTAGTAATATTTAGAATTCCTTCAGTCCATTCATTTATGAAACCAGGATGATGGAATTTATTCTCAAACATTAGCCTAGAAACAGAAGAGAATTAAAATTCGAATCACCCCACACTTTCTTTTTACTCTGTGCAAATTACTTTCTTACCTAATGTATTAAGGCAAATGATTAATGCCCTTAACTCTTACCTCACCTTTATGATCTATTTTCCTACCAATTTCACAATTGAAAAAAGGGAAAGAATTTTGTTCTTTCCCTTTCCTGCTTTTGTTTTGGAATCTTGAAATGATTTCTACCATTTTCCAACACACAATTATAGGTGATTTAAAAAGTCCTAGGATGTAGAATTTGTTCTAAAAATTGCTCAAATAGTACTCTTGCCTTTATCACAGAACAGATGATTCACTGAGTTTACAAATTCACTGTTTCACTTTTTATGACTGGAAAAAAGTAGGATTGGTGTATGAAGTGTGCTGCATCACAGCATTTCAGACAAGATAAGTGGTGTTTCCTTGCTTCTTTCAAGTATTTGTCTCCCTGCTACCCTTCATATGGCTTAAAGAAGAAATGATCTCATATAATCATTGCCACCAAGCTCTTGGTCTGGGTCTTGGTTTCCTAACAATTTAACAGGAAGCATATGCTTCCAGACATATTTAGTTCTAAATCATACTTACTCCTTAAACTGATATTATTCATTATTCAAGCTGATATTATTATTCACCCCCAGCCATATAAGTTTTTGTCCATATAATTTCCAGATATTTGGATACCATTGTGCATCCACTCGAGCTATATCTACATCCGAAAAAGTATTGCAAGCCATTCTTTTTCAACTTGGGCATAGCCCTATTTGGCTTCTGGTAAGTCTCTGCTTGCAAATATAACTAGCTGTCCACCTTACAGCACGATAATCCCTAGACCTATTTCTGATCCATCACAGTGAAGTATTGATGGTTCTTCTGGGATGTAATGCTTCATCCCATTTATCTTTTGGAAACATCTTCATGTTGCTGTGTTCACTCCCACACCGTCTCTTGATGTGTCAGTTGTCCAACAGTCTCACAATTCTCTGAAAGGCATTTATAAAACTTAGCCAAATAATTGGCCATTCCCAGACTTCTTGATATCTTGAGGTTGTGACATGTCTCAAATAACTCTTACTTCTTCTAGACCTCTCCCACTATCAGCACATCATCAGCTATTGCCCAGATTCTTTTCAGACCCTCCAAGGCATATGTCAGCCGGTTCTGAAATACCTTGGACTGATGCCCATTGGCATTCTTAGCCAGTGATAATTTCAGAAAGGATGTGTCAATATTGTCAGATAACTGGATTCTTCATCCAGCTCAGTATGTCAGAATCCATTTTTACATCACCAATGGAAAACGCTCTTGCTTTGACAGATATGGCAATATTTCTTCAGTAGTGGCAATAGTGCTTTATTTAAGGACTTTTTATCTATACATATTCAGAGATTCCCTGGTGGTTTTTAGAAACTATCTAGTGCAGGGGTCTCAAACTCAACTTACCTGGGAGCCGCTGGAAGTAGAGTCTGGGTGAGGCTGGGCGGCATCAAGTATTCCACCACCGCAATGGAGGCGGGTGCTGCCTGCGCTTTGAAGGTCGTAGGGTCCTCCCCTGTGCCCCACCCGTCCCAGTAATTGGCCTGCAGGCCACAAGCTTGAGACCCCTGATCTAGTGTGTACCTTTCTCTACTGGTTGAATAATTGTAGATTTCACAACTCTTCTTTCAAATTCTGTACTAAAGGTACTGACACTTTCCCCTTGGTGGTTTAACTCCATCTAGCTGTCCATCTTCCTCAAATACACCACTTTGAATTCTTTCTTGAGTTCAGCTTCCCCTTCAGGACTCTAAACTTGTCTTTTGATAACTTGAAAATCTTATAATTCACCAAGGTTTTGCTCAAAGGTCAACTCTGCTTCCCTCAGCAATCTCTGTCATAATTGTGCATTGTTCTCTGCATATTATCTGTTCCCTTATTAAGAATCATCTCCAAAATTGCAACTGGCTGCCAACATTTTTAAATGAATACATTATTCTTCAGTGCCTTCACCTCTCCTTGGTTCAGCATGAAAAAAAATCCTTACATTGTTTCCTCCTTTCTGGGGTTGCGTAGCGCATCAAAACAGCCTATTATTGTTGCCATAGTATACTGTGCTTGGGGATGTTTGCATGTATTGTCTCACTTACTATTCTCACTTTCTTTAATCAAACCATTTCATTGATTACAATGTCCAAACAGAGACTGGATTTTTCCCCCTAGGTTTTCCATGTCTGGGCTAAGTTCTGAGCTTGAAGGGGAAATGTGCTTGGTGGTATCAGGCCCTCTGTTTTCCTTCCTTCCTTCCTTCCTTCCTTCCTTCCTTCCTTCCTTCCTTCCCTTTCTACTCACAGTCCAGTCACCATTGTCACCATGGTTCAAAGTTGGTGGATTGAAACCCACAGAAACAAATAGACCCTGCCAATTTCTATAGAACTATCTCTCCCCTTCGATCAGAAACAGTGGGTGATGACTGCAACTACTGACTTCTCCCAAGAAACACACTTCATCCAGACCAAATTCAGCTGTTCATTCATATTGTTTGTCATGTTTGTGATGTCCAGTTGCTAAGAAGTCACATTCAAGTTACAGGTCTTCTATGGAAACCCTTAAGTAGAGTGAGGTGTCATTATAACCTTTCAGTAAAACGGTAATAAAATGGAGCATCTCATTAAAACCTATTTTGAAATAATCATGCTAGAAGTTTAAATTATTTCACATGTGAAAACTGATATACTAGCTAATATTTCCAGTCCCTTCTGCAATCATGTACCTGACTATTATCCTTTTTTCCTCCTCTGTTACTACAGGTTGCTGGGGTTTGCATGAAGTATGAAAGCAGAAAGATCCCACAGGAACAGAAACATCTCAGCAGCTGCATCTCCACAACTAATCTTTACAAAAGACTGTGGTACAAAGAAAGAAAACTAACTCTACATTTAACCCCTTTTTTCCCCAGGCAGAACACTTTTAACAGGATGAAGTTAATGCCTCTCTTATTCATTCATTCCTTTTATATGTTATCTACTTAAATGCTCTGCATATACATGTGATGTGAGTAATGGACAAGAATTATTATCCTCCCACAATAGACTGGGAAACAACAAAAGGCTGAGTGTGAGAGGAAATGTATGACCTAGAATTTGCACTTCTGTGCCAGGTAAAGATGTGTTTACTAGCTTTATTGAAAACTTAATAAACTAATTAAACCAGGCCTGGTTAGGGATAATATTTGGCCTGTACAAGAATACTAACTATTACTTATATAGTAGAACATTCCATTTCAGTGATGGCACATAATGTCAGATAAGAGAAAGCGGTGGGATCAAAATATTTGTTTGTGCAATACAAAGCCTCAATAACTTGTTTACTGAATAAAAGTTATTCAGACCCCCTGCTGGGTGTCTTCTTCTCAGGTAAACCCATTGCAGTATGTCAACTCTCCCTTGCTGAATAAGGCAAATTTCTTCAAAGAATCATGTCCCCTTGCTTTGAGGAATTTCAAAATCTATGACACTTAGCATGTGGCTATTACTGCAGTCTTAGTAGCATTTGTTATTGTTATGTGCTGTCCAGTTGTCTCCAACTTATGGTGACCCCATGAATGAAAGCCCTCCAAAATGTCCTATTCATGACATCCCTGCATTCTTAATCCAAGGCTGTGACTCCCTTAGCAGTGGGCTCATGTCCATACATGCCCCTTTAAAAATAGGAGTGTTCTTAGCAGATGGGATCTCTTAAAGACAGGGGGTTTAGTAAAGAAGCATGCTCAGGCACATAAAGCTCACCTTTGTAGGCATGAGCCCAGATCTTTTTGGTACTGAGCATCACCTCTCTTTAGATTGGCTTCTTGTTTGCTGCAAAATTTACCTCAAATTTCTCCAAATTCCCTTCAAAGTTTCCCATGAAATTGCCACTCCATTCTTCTCTTTCATACCCTATAATGAGAGTAAGTAATGCCACTAACTTTATTCTTCAGCTCTACCAACCACAGCAATCTGAAATTCTCCTCCTCTTCTCTCACATGGTCCATGATAGGCAGGTCCTATCATGAGGCAGAGTGAGGCAGTCCCCTCAGGCAGCAGATTGTTATTTACTTTGTTACTGTGTCATTTCTACTGTCAGAGATGAAGTGAGGTGCTAATGGGATTTTCGGCCTCGTATACCAAAATGGCTTGGCTGACTTTGGGTTCTATATTCCTTGACTTATGGGAGGGACATTTACTATTCTTCCTCAGGCAGCAAACTATCTTGAGCCAGTCCAGCAAATAGCCCTGTCCTTTCAACCTTTTGACTTTCTCCTTATGACTGTGATATGGTATCTCACACATCATATTCAAGAATACCCTCAGATTAGAAAGTACCATAGTCCCCAGTTCTATCTATGTTCCAGTTTTATTACACTGATTTAAATTAGGTGCCAGGAACCATTCTTGTCTCGAGGGTCACATTTCCACATGAGTAATCTTTCAGTAATCTTTCAGTAATCTTTCAGGTGCTACATGTCAGAAGTGCCAAACTCAGTAAAGGGCCAGAGTAAAAAGTGTGTGGGTCACCCTTTTAGTTTCTCTGCCACCTACTTTCTCTCTATATATGTCATTCACTTTGTCACTTTCT